AACAACTTAATCTAGTGACAAATATGTCTGGAACAGCAAAAAATGGCAGAGGATTGTTAACAAACCAGCACTTTGAAATCAACACATTAACTATTAATGCCAGTGTCAGCATTCTGCAGCAGAATATCAAGCCCAAGAGCTGGATAATGTGTTACAGAAGGTCATGGAAGAAACAATTATCAAACTAAAGGATTTTTGTGGAGGATCAAGCAGAGATTAGGGAAAGTAACCTGTCCCCTAAAACGACATAAATAAAGTGATCCTCACACCAGAAGCACTTGATCTGTATAACATGGAATGGATATTAAAAATCCAGGTCAAAGATAAATGACTTTTTGAATTGTATTAAAACAGTCTACGTCATCGTCTGTTAATCACAACACATCCAAGCTAATGATCACCGTGAACGTGCTGACGAAGTCTACTGAGAGTCTGCCGTTTTAGTCCAGTCATCATTTTGTACACCTGATTTGTCATCAGCGAATGTTAGCTAGAAGTAGGCCGACTACGACGGCTGTAATTCTAAGGAAATGCCAAGTGAATTTTTTAAATGCTACAGTCTCACTGTCAACGCTGTTATGTTGTATTTGGCCATAGACAGTCTAGCTTTTCTGTATTTGTGAGTCTTTTAGCCAGTGAGGAAATAAGTCCAGCATATTTTAAAATAACGAGAAAGAAAGACAGAAAGCCATAACCATGACCTTACTCTTGGTACAGTTTTTACTTAACTGGTTCCATTCTGCAGCAGCTGCAGTGTAATTAGTTGCTTGATTCACACTAAGGAGCTTACATACTAAGGGTTGAGCAAAAAGAAAGCAGATTACAATTTGAGAAGTAGGATCTAGCAGGGCTACGAACACGAGAGACAAACACACGGCTGTCACGTACAATAAAAACAGCATGTGAGCACTTTGTCTGTCTCCGTCTATAACATGAGAAAATGAAGCTCTTCCTCATGGAATCAAATTCGAATCAAGTGGGTTTGCGGCGTAAAAATCTGCTCCACTGAATGAGATTTGTACCAGAAGCTTTCAGTCCTCGCAGATTGTCTGTAAGTCACATGCTCTTTTCCGTTACCTAGCAACAGTACAGCTCAGGCAAAAGTTCCTCAAGAGAACTTCCAATCTGTCTGAGGGAGGCTTTGTGCTCAACCTTTAAAGTAATACTATGTGGTAAAACGTTTAGCCCTCGAGCCAGAATAGCATTACCTACTGGCCACACTTTAGAAGCACTGGAGGTGATTGTGTAGTTACATTATAATCATCATCAAGGTTATTCCCATGTGTTTTGGTTAAATCATCTTGTTCGAGTGCCATCAAACTGTTGCTAATCGAATGGTTACTTCGCTGATAGTAAATACAGAAGCATTTTAATTCAGCAACAATTAAATTCCCCCTGCACAGTGTGTGGTTTGTTTTTGATGAGCAACAAGTGCACTGAGTGAATCACGTAGTAGTACAACAACTCTGCAGGTCCTCAATAAATCATTCAGCTGACAGCCTGTTGGGGGGTGAGAAGAAGAAGGATAGAAGGAACAACAATCTCACTACTTACTTTCAGAGTGGCACCATCTAACACAGCATATGAAGACGAGAAAGAGTTGAAGTAGCAGTGCTCTCCACATTCTGGCTGGTCCGTCCAGCTCCGCTGTGCAGATGGAGGAGCTGTAGGGACTGTGGGGCTGGGATGCTGTTGCTTTCTTCTGTCTGTCTTTCTTGGCCCGTTAGTTGATGAAAAGGGGCGTGCACAAAGGCCGGGACAGAGTTACATACGGGACAGACCGCTCCACCTGCAGCCTCGGCCCTCCGGATAAGTCCCTCTGGCCCTGGAATCTGCATAATGCCATGCAGGTCCGACTTGCCCGGAGTGCCAGTGATTTTTCACTCACAGCGGGCTATTACCACTGTGTGTTTTCGCTCAGTGCCGAATTAGGAGTCTGCATTGGGGTGTTTGAGAGGAAAATAATGATGATGGGAGTAATACAAACATTAAACAACGAAACGCTTTGAATTACGGTGTCCTAAAGGCCCAGAGGATCACCGTAATCGCAATGTATGTAGTCCGAGTCAGGTTGTTGTAGACACACTTCCCAACACCAAGCTTGTTCTCTTGAGTATATAGATAGACTGATAGTTACTTTAATAATCCCGCGATTTTTAGAGTAAAAAATCTTAAATATAATATAATGTATGCATAATAAATAGATGAAAGTTCCAGAAATGTTCATCAATAACAGTTACGCTGGGCACATTATTGGCCCCGTAGGAATAGTTCCCAATCGATTTTGTGAATAAAACAATTCGTTTTAATGAAGAACCTAAATCGCACCTCTCAATTCTCAAAAAAGTCAACTGCCAGTAAATTAACCAACGTTAGATGACAAAAAAAATGTGCCAACGTGAAACAGGATTCAAGCAACACGAGAAAAGTAACGTTAGTTCATTAATTCCGCCATGCTTTATTACCCCAGATGGTCCAACACTAATCAGAAGCCCAACACCTCCATCGTGCGGTCGAGCATGGGCACGTGCGTTACACCTGCCGCCGTTACTGAATCACGATGCTGCCATTGGCAACCGAGCAACGGAAACTTGTGGGGAAATGTGGGAACCGAATCCTTGAGCAGAAAAATAAGTTGTCAACGTAAAAAAAACGGGAGGAAGCTCTCCCTCCATTTGTAAGTTTGCTCTTTATGGCAACTCCACAGAGGAATGTAGAAAACTTCACCAAGATGGAGGGCAACACGACGGAGGTGTGTAAAAGTTATCGATGACAACTGTACATACAATCTGTACATATTTATACATTAGCTTATTGTAGGTGTTTTGGCGTGCGTGTCACATAAGTAACAATAAATTGCAGGTACAGTGTCATCATTACATAGTTTTTCTTTGAGTGTAAAATGTCTCCTTCAGTTCATATCTTGATCTCAATTCTCTGAGATGTATCATCTTAACTGTTTTCACATATTGCTTTTCTCCCTTGTTCTCAGCTTATGGACAGTATTCGGAAGTCCCTGCAACTTGGCAGCCTTTCTACGGAGGATGCAACAGCGACAGGGATGCTGCGATCCAGACTAGATGAACAGTCAATTCTAATTTGCATGTTGAAGCAGAGAGCAGATCAGGAGCTTCTTAGATGTCAAGCCCTGCAGCAACTCAATGCAGACCTGGAGGGCCGAGGAACAGACTGCCAGAAGGAACTGGACTGGGAAAGAAAGAAAGCAAATCTGTTAGAGAAGAGGTTTATGGATTTAGCGGCCAACAACCAAGCGATCATTGTATTCATGGATGACTACAAAAAGCAGAACGCCCAGTTAAAGCTGGAAAACAAACAGCTGCAGTCCGAGAATGAAACACTTTTCTCCCAGAAATTACACGATAAAGAAGTGTTTGTTCAAAAACTGAAGCAAGAAATCAAACAGCTGACAGAGAAATACAAAAATAAGGAAAAGGAATATCGGTGAGAAGAAAAACGAGTCACTCAGTGGTCGATTCACAGAAAATTAATCAACAGCAATTTTGATCATCTTTTAATCTCATTTATCCAGTAAAACTGCCAACATTCCCTGGTTTCAGCTTTTTAGAATGTGAGCATGAGCTGTTTTTTCAGTTTTATTCGAAATTGAATACCTTTGCTGTATTTTACATCCATCATTAAGAGAGAAATTATCCGGATGCCAGTCAAAACTCCTGGAACAAACAACTCAGCATCAAGCCAAAGACGCATCACTACTTGATGATCAACTGCATGATGCTCGGCAACAACAAAGAGAGGCTGTAGAGATGTGCAACGGTGGGTAGTCAACGTATCATTTTATGAAATGCAACAAAGTACACGCACTTGTAAACTTGTGACCTTCTCTCCACAATCAGACCTCAAGACGAAGCTACAACAGGCGGAAGAAGAGCATGCTTTGAAGAAAATCAACTTGAGCGAAAGCATAACAAGCCTCGCCAAAGAGAGGGACAAATTACTGCATCTGTCTATGGAGAGAGGGAAAGTAATACAGGTGATTGAAATGAGTATTTGTTGTCCTCACTGAAATCAAAGCTCTGCACAGATGAGCCAACTGTTTCACCAACACACAAATTGCTCTCAAATACAGGAGAAACAAGAGGAAATTCAGCAACTGGAGACCAAATGGAAACAAGAGAAAAAAGCCCGGGCCGAGGCAGAGGACAGGTAAGTTGTGCCTCAACAACACACTCCTGCTTTTAGAAAAAAAAATCCTTGCAGATAATAAGTATTTGTCCCTGACTTTATGTCCCTGGCCTTACCTCAGGTTTGAACAGGAAGCAGAAGCTGTTAATGCAGAAGTTAAAGTGAAGTTGATCCAGTCTGCTCTGGATGAATCCAAGTCAAAATACAGAAAGCTGAAAGAGGTTTGCTGAAATCTGCAACGTTGGAATGTGTGATTGTCGGTGGCCCATGAAGGGCTCAGAACATGCTTAACATATCTGCCATTATTTTTACAGGATTTTGAAGCCCTCAAAGATCACAGCACCAACCTTCTTCTACGAGAAAGAGAGTTAAATAAGAAGCTTCGCCACATGATGGGCTAAACTTTAGCATTATGGAAGTGTTGTTTTCTCACCAATGTTTTCATTAAAAAAAATACTTTCACCTCCAGTGTTTGCTCAGTGCCAACGATGAAAATAAAGAAAAACTGCAACAAAAATATATATTACAATGTTATTTTTAATCTTGTCTTCACCTTTCCAAAGAAATGGAACCACAACATAACATACTTGATACTGTACAAATGTTTATCTCATAAATATTTACAGACGCGTCACTTAAGAATGCTCCTCTGCCTGTTTCTCAGCCTTTTGGATTTCTTCTTCAATGGGACCCACCATGTAGAAAGCTTGCTCTGGCAGGGCATCATATTCACCTTGAAGAGTAAAAAGAATAACCATTACCATCAAATATCTATTTACTTTATCTCATTCAGAAAAGGTTTGCATGAATTATCAGGAAAAAGACATCCGCAAGTAATGAAAAATCTATTTGGCATTGCATACCTCTGATCCGGGCTTGGGTGAACCTAAAGATGTTGTCAATAAAGAGTACGTCCTGTCCCTCCTGATCACGGAAGTATTCGACAACAGTCAAACTGGTAAGAGAGACTCTGGCAGGGGCACCTATAGGGGCTCATTCATTTGACCGTACACCAGGGCTACCTGAGAACGTGAAGACAAAAATCACCCGGAGAGTTTAGCATGAGTTTACACTGAGCGAGAGATCTACATGAATCCATCAAAACTGATAAACCGAAGTCTGTGCTGAAGTCTCCGGAGTAAGGAGAGCTAAATAGTGTTTCAACAACTCTGTTGACAACAAGAGAAATATAGAATAACTCCAGCATCATGATCATCTCAACACTTACAGACGCCTCTCATCAATGGGTTCTCTAATGACATTCATGATCCTGCCCAAGGTCTCAGGGCCCACAGGGATCCTGATGGGGGACTCCGGTGTCCAGAACCTTTTGACCGCGGACCAGACCCTCTGTGCCATCCATGGCGATCAGCCCAGCTGTGTTTTCACCTGAAGAAGAAGGCCATGAGGAGAAACCCTTTAAATTTCATAACAGACATTCAAACACTGCCCCAGTACCCATTCGCCACACTCACCCAGATGCTGTGCCACCTCCAGCACCAGCCTGCCCTCATCAAACCGGACATCCACCACAGCACCAATCACAGCCACTATCCGGCTGTTGCCGGTGCTGCCTGAGCAGCTGGTGCAGTGTAACCCCTACCTAAAAGCACAATGACAGAAAAAAAAGAAAATGACAAATAATGCCAACATATTATACGTGACTTTAAATATGACAGCAGCAACTCAAATGTTACAGAGACTAAACAAGGTTTAAAGGGACCCCAAAATCAAAAATACACACATTTCCGCTTACCTGTAGTGCCATTTATCAATCTAGATAGTTGTGGTGTGAGTTAGCTTTGGTGATATCGGCTGAAGAGTTGTCTGCCCTTCTCACCAATATAATGGGACTATAACTTGTGATGCTCAAAGTGCCAAAAAGAATACATTTGAATAACTCTACAGCAATGTCTCTTTCCAGGAATCATGACCCCGTTACTCAAAATAATCCATAGACCTTGTGAGTAGTTTCATGGAGGAACTAAAGCAGACATCTCAATGGCGGATATCTCCAAAACTAGACAACTCACATTATTTTATATATTTTTGAATCATCTTAAATCTACAAAGCAACTAAACAAAACGTATAATACAGTTCCACATTTTGGTGCTTCGGGATAGCATTTCCCATGTTTTGTTGCCAGAAAGGCTGAAAAGTTCAAACAGGCAATGTGTGAGATATTGACTTTTATTAAGTTACGTGGAAGGTCGTTGACTGGATCCTACAACGTCTGATTGAAGTAACAATATGTCCAAAGAGCTGCTGCAATTAAATACAAATACCGACTGATCGCACATGAATGAAGACATTTTATGGTAAAGAGGCTCGCTGCGGCACCGTCCCACAGCACCCAACATGGTTAAGATGGCTGAAGTGGAATGTACCTATGGATTGTACACCGCCGCTCAACCAAACGAGCTGTCTGAGCATGCGCGGTCTGTCGTTTTCTAATAACCTCATTTACAGAAAGAGGGCAGCACAAACCCACCTAGAAGGATCCCCACAAGCTATCTTTCTGTTGTTGCCCTCGTGCTGCATTATGATTCAGAATTAGTGTTCATTTATTTAAGGAAGATTTACATTATCATGAATTTGCTTCGAAAATATTGTGGATTTTATACCTGCATATTCTACCCTTCTGTTACAGAGGACCACAGTGTGTAGTTTCGTGTTTTCTAACCCCTCTCTCTCCTGCAATATTGTCACACAACTTCTCATATGGCATACTCTCCAACGTTTTATGATCATAATTCATATGAGGATTTTAATTATGAAAAATTGTACATAGCTAGAACATTCCCAAAAATGTAAAGTAAACCCAAAAGCAGGTTGTTTTTAAAGCATACGAACTTGGTAACCTGATCATTCAGCAAGAAGTCAGTTTTATTGAAAAAGACAGGTTTAAAATGTTCAATTTACACACCGCTCTAAGCTTCTGTAATTACCAGTATCACAAGCAGAATGGGGAACATAAACAAAAGCATTCAGTCAGTGATAGACGCTCATGAAAGAGAACCTATATTCACAATAATCTTCACAATTTACAAATGTTGTTGCAGCATATAGGAACCCTATGAATGGATGTCGTTCATCATATAGAGCAAAGTGACAGGGTGGATTTTGCCAAGCCATCATTCAGTGCAACATTCCTTTTGTGTCAGAGAGTCTCCTCTAATTACTTCTTGCCTGGAGCTTTTGCAATACAAAGCCCCTTCACCTCAAGCGCAGCATGCAGCCATGAATCCTCAGCCAGTCTGCATAGGATCGGCCCCATTTAAACCACACCACTGAAAGGTCAGCTCCATAACAAATGGTCAGATGGTCATCTTTTAGGGTCTGGAAGGTGAAATACCACCTAGCAAAGATATATTGCATGTCACTCGCCTACGGGTTGCAACTCCCTTTTCACAAAAGAATAATTCAAAGAAACACATCACAATATAGCCAAAAAAAAAGGTAAATAATGCGTTAAAGTTAGTTGAGGTTTCTATTGATACTGTGATTGACTGTTTTTTAATTAAAACAACAGGATTTAATTCAAACATTGTTCTGCTCTGGTTGTTACTGCTTGGTGATTTTAGAATTAAAAATCACCCCTTTAACCCTTTTTCCTCAGGTGGTTTTGGTCATTTAAAGTCCATGGCGCAGTCCAAAGGTGACCAGGCCTTTGCCATTTGGTCCTTTAAACTTTAACCCCCCCCCATACCTTTGGAATTTTTGCTGGCACTTTTTATATCCCCTCTTAAAAAACGCTTTTAACCGCAATATATTGTTGCAATTTTGTTGAAGTGCTATTTGTAAATGAATTGTAGTTTAAATCCCAATTTGTTTTAGGTAGTACAATATGCAAACCACTTTGGTGTGTCATTTTTACCTCTTTAGTTAAGATTCCATTAAAGTTTGTTTTTTTTGCCCAACGATGAAGATCTTGGGTAGATTATAATAAGAAAAGAAAAATCATACCCTGTAAACTAAAAAGGCAATCTGGTTTGAATTGACATCAAACACTATTACTAAGCTTGTTTACAAGATATTTACAAGATGTTGCTGCCTTTTTTGGCCAGGTCGTCATTGACTTATTTGGTTAAATAAAGGTACAATAAATAAATAAAATAAACTCTTTTACACCAATATTATCCAATTAAATCTATTTAAATGTGTTGTTTAGATTTAAAGTAAGGTTAAACAGGTAAAACGCTTCTGTAACTTTTCAACAACATGACAAATACACAATATCATAACTATAATTCTGTGGTGTGAAAGAATTAGCTAACCCCTCGTAGACTAATACATCTACAGTTGATTGTACTTGCAGAGACTAAACATTTCAGCAAACTCACAATGTTGCTTCACTGCTGCAAACAGATCTCAGCTCCCCTGCCCTGAGGGCAGAGCGGGAATCTTGGCAAGGCTCAGTGGGATCTGGTCTGTCGGTGGCTTCTTATAAAGGAGGAGTGAGTGTCTCAGGGTCTCTCACTCTCTGCTCTCCAGGATGACTGACACTGCTGGTGCTGTTCAATGATCAATGAGCTAAGTGGAGCTCACTGTGCGCTGTGGTCCAGCTGTTCCAGCTACCTTCTTCAAGTCTGCATTTTGGGCTGCGCTTGAAATAGGACACTGAAATACTATTTCCAAAAGAGGTTGGACTATGAGTTGATGTACCCCACATTTACAACAATTGAGTATTTTATAGTTTGACTTTCAACATCAATCAACTGTTTTACTGTTTACATTTAACTTAGCAGTTAAATATATGGATGCACAAACTTTTTCACTCTGATTTTTTTGCAGAAACAACTTTTATGGACAGTGAAATTGATTGATTTTGATTTGTTGTTGCTACTTTTCACCATAGTTGGGACAAGGATGTTCCTCTCCTCTACATTGGTGCTGCTGGTCACAGCACTGACCAGCGTCTGGGCCCAAGACTCTTACGAAATAAGGAAAATTAGCAAGAAATCCAGGCCCAAACATCTGGCTGCAAATATTGATGACGGACAAGGTAAGACACTAAATGTAACATGAATAAAAACAAATTGATTTCAATCGATTGTCTTTTTGATGCAGGAAATCCAACATTATGTTGCTACAGTATTATGTTCATATCTTACTTAGATTGTACTAATCTGCAGTTTTCACCTGAAGTTAAATCAAAATGTATGTCACTTAATCAAAGCACCTAAACACCTTCATCCTGTTCCGTGTGCACACAGCCATCCTAGATGAGGACTGTAGCTTGGAGCTAACCTTCCTGTTGGACAGCTCTGAGAGCGCCAAGGACAACCATGAGCAGGAAAAGCAGTTCACTATGAACATGGTGGACAGACTCCAAGGGGTACAGCTGCAGACCGGCCGCAGCTTGAGCTTAAAGGTGGCTCTGCTGCAGTACAGCAGTCACGTTATCACAGAGCAAACCTTCAGAGACTGGAGGGGCACAGAAAACTTTAAGGCCCTCATCGCTCCCATCATCTACATCGGGCACGGCACCTACACCACCTACGCCATCACCAACATGACCAAGATCTACCTGGAGGAATCCAGCCCCAGCAGCATCAAAGTAGCCCTGCTGCTTACAGATGGTATTTCCCACCCGAGGAACCCTGACCTTTTCTCTGCTGTTGCTGATGCCAAGAACCAGGGCATCAAATTCTTCACTTTGGGCATCACTCGGGCAGCCAACGACCCAGCCAATTTAGCCCAGCTTCGTGTAATCGCCAGCTCCCCAGCTTCCCACTTCCTCCATAATTTACAGGACGAAGACATTGTTGAAAAAATCGTCACCGAGATTGTGAGTATAATACCTTTCTTTCAGCAGGCACCACTGAGAAGAAAAGCGATGTATTTGCTTTGACTGGGGATCTATTCAGAGTTGACACACGGACATGCTTGTTCAGGTATTCGTATAGAGATGGAATGATGAAAATGCTCTGGAGAAACACAGGAAAGAATGTCTTTGACAGCTCTGGATTGTAAGCTTTTTACACAGCTTTAGAAAAATACTGTTTGACATCTGCATGAGCACATCCCCTAAGATTCCCAGAATGTATCACGTGACTTGCATTATTACTCTGTTACTGGCTATACCTTGACATTTTCAGGAACGTTATTTGTCTTTCTTCTGTCAAGTTTCAAGTGTATTGCTTTAATTCAAATTTTGTTTTCTTTGCAGACTGGCATTACTAATGAAGGAGTAAGTATTACTACAATTAGACAGCTCATAGGGAATCTTTTGAAATGTAATAATGTGTAATTCGGCTAGAGTGTGAATAATTACATTCATAACGGATTAGCAAATGTGTCTCTTTATCTGCAGTGCCCTCTGGCTCAGAGATGTGCTTGTGAGAGAGGAGAGAGGGGACCAAACGGGCCTGCGGTGAGTATTTAGCTTCAAACCTTTCAAAAATATTCCACAAGCAAAGAGCAGTTGCCTTTGAAGTGTCACAAGTCAGAAGAAAGGATTCCTGAAATCTCGTGCAGAGAAATTTAACATGATCCTGATAGTTTAGGAAAGGTAATTGTGCAGTTTTGAACAATCAGGATAATTGCATGCTTATTTCTCCTCAGTATAGCTTGTAGGCATTCGCACAAGTAGTGGATAGGTGGTCCTGCCCCACATTCTAAAAGCAAATCTCTGGCAACAGGCAAAGGAGATCACAGACTGTGGTCTGCTATTCCCACGGAAATATGTTTGCTGTGCCCTGTCTCAGCCAAATATTAAGATGTCCCCCATGGAAACAAGAGGCACCGCTTTTAAAACTCCACTCCCTATAAAAGTGGACCTTTGTCCACCATAAATCTCCTATACTACTACCCATACTGCCACAGACAGAAACACTGTGATAGGAGGACTGCAGTGTGAAACACCTGATATTACACATCATTTCTGTGTGACACCAGAAGAAGATGATCCCATCCGCTCTAGACACCCACTCACTCTAACAATGAGCGAAGGTAGTGTCAATCTTTCCAGCAACCCGGTGAGATAATCATGATGCTGACAGACAGCTGCATGGCCGTTAACCAGGTGCTTTCTCCTCAGAGAGATTCTTGAAATTCTTACACAAAAAGAGGCTCTCATAATTGCTCTCATTACTTTAATGGGCACAAACTAGTGATTTCTGGTGGATAGCAATTGACACACGCTGTCCAGGTGCAGCTCAAGACAATGACCCCTGGCCTTGTGGACAAGACACCTCATGCCCACCTATCGCTTCAACTGTCATACAGCCCTCACATCCATGAGCACATACAACACACATTCAGACATCAGCCCAGAGACGAACAAAATATTTTTACTTTGCATTGACATGGTCAAGATGACCTTTATTTTCAGGGTATTCAGGCAACTTTAGTGACTATTTAAGATAAGATAATATATATGTTTTTGTTGCACAGGGAAATTGTTGCATCACACTACACACACGAGTGGGACATCATAGAACTGTAAATCTTTAAAATTGTAAAAAAACAGCAGCTTCAATTGATAAAACCAGGTGTCAAACCAAATTAAAAGTAATCAAATCGCAATATCTTAGTGCCCAAATAAAATCATTGTATTTTAGCCTGAAGGCAACAACACGACTTCAGGGTTTCGGAATGTATGTTGGGTCATTCAGTATCTTCTGTGCCACCTTGAGCACAGATTGTTCATATATAGACTGAAGAGAGGGATGTTCTTTTTCCCGATGGTCTTAATGGCCGTTTGAGAGACGTGCAAGTTTAGACTTTTGTGCTGACAGGTTACCATCCATACTTGTATGCCATATGGAATTACACGCTCTTGAATTCTTTGACAGAACAAAATCATGAGTTTCCTATTTACACCACAGAGTTCAAGCCTTCTAAAATAGATACATCCTCTGTTGTAGCCTAGAACAAAGGTTTTCAACATATACATGCCATGTGAGCAAACTCCCAATGTGGACACCAAGAGGTGAGCAAAATGTCCGTGAAAGAAATGAATCAACTTAACCCTGACTTTGTTTCATTCTCCAGGGGAAAAAAGGTCGCTCCGGAAACGATGGAGCCCCAGGGCTTAAAGGGCTAAAGGTGTGTGCTTTTTGATCGACATGTGGACAACTAATGTCTTAGCTGGCGGGCCCCTTCAGGTGTTATATAATACTTCCCGAGTTCTCCACATCTAAATTCTATGTTAAAATTTTGGAAAAAGTTGTCAGGCTTCCTGAACTGGGTCATCCAATGTCTGTTAAGTTCTTCTTAAAAATTAAAAAAAAATGTATGTTCATAATAGTAATAGACTCATATGAAAACTAGGACAGGTTAATTGTTATATATGATTATCATTTAGCGTTATATATTCGTAATTTGTAACATATATGTAAAGTTGTATTATAGTTGAATATTTAGATTTTACTTTTAAAAACATGACCTGCTTCACTGCACATAGAACTTTTCCAGATGTTCATGAGAATAAAAAAAAACATCATCTGTATCATTACCAATTAATAAAAAAATGTAGTCCAAAAGGATAGTGATCTGTTCAGTGGGCAAGTTTTGGATGGAACAAAAAAACTAATGAAGAAATATGAGGTGAAACGCTCATGTGGAATGAACTCATTATAATCTGCGACTGCCTTTTACTTGCCCAGCACAGTTTCTGTTGACACTAGTAACTTTTCTTTTTACTCGTCACTCATCTGCGGTGGAGTACCCTGAGGTTAAATCTTAGGCCTTCTTTTATTCTCTCTATGTGCTCACACAGGGCACTTATAACTGTCACTCTGACAATATGTCGCTGTACCTCCCCTTAAAAACTGGTAATGCCGATAGTTGTCCAACCCTTATAAGATTCTTTTAGAGATGGTTGGATAAACATAATCTGGTAAGGTTCCGATTTCTAGTGATTTAGTGATAGTGATTTAACAAACACTTTTGGGCCCTGTTAAGTGTACATACTGCACAAATGTCAGATATGTACTGTATATGTACATGCTTTTATTTCTTTGCATATTGGCTGTTGTACACTTTTTATGTGTGAGCCTTGGCAGCCTGTATTAGCTTTCCTTCACCGGCTACCAATCAAGTGTAGGATTGTTTTTAAGATCCTTTCATTTGTTTTTTTAAATTCTGCATATTGTGGAACCCATTTATGAGCACCTTCCCTACTGTTCCACCTCCATACTTCTAATCTAACAGTGATCCAGCATTTGCCATTATTGCATCGAGAGTATTTAATAGTTTACTAACACACCCCTTCTTTTGGCATTTTTTGAGTCTTTAAGGATATGATTATTGAATTATGAATGATCATAAAAAGCTAATTTATTCAACACCAGCTTATTATTTGTCTCAAATCCATTTATGTTTGGGGCTTACAGGGCTTGTACACATTTGTATAACATGTGTTAAGTTTTCTATTAATGTTGATGTTACAGTATGAGAAAGATGTTTCATTTTTTCATGTCTTTCATTTTTGTTTCTCTACTTAATCTGTGTATACCTGCAAAATCAGACTGTTTATTTATAGTTTATTCTGTGTTAAGGTACTTTACTTTACAGTGGCTGTAACTCGTATTCACTGTAATAATGAGTCTGTGTACTTTCTGTCACATCAGGGTGATGCAGGACTAAGTGGTCTACCCGGGCGTGAGGGTGCTGAGGTAAATGTCACTATTTATGACCAAAATTAAGAAAATATTCATTACTGTCTCGGTAGTTTGATAACACGAATCATTTCATCACTTTTTTTAAAGGGAAAACCAGGTTACAAAGGAGAGATGGTATGTGATTTAGATTAATGAAAATGATAATATTTAATATTTTGTTGGAGACTATGCAAGCCGATGCAATACTTGTAATTACTACACAGGGTGAGAGGGGTGAGTGTGGCACTCCAGGAATCAAAGGAGACAAGGTACAACTGCACTGTTGACACTACACATACTGAACATTATATATTATATATCTAGTTTGATAATTCATACTTGCTGTACATACTTTGTATGATCTTATGGCCTTTCTCTTCCCTGTGTGGTGTGCTTCAGGGTCCTGAGGGTCCAATTGGAACAAGAGGACTTAGAGGTCTGCAGGTCAGTAACATTGTAGTAGTTCAATATGCAATGCATGCATTTATAATGACTGTCTCTAATAGTTAACACACTACATTGATTGGACAAAAAGACAAAAGAGAGAACAGATGTTTTTAATTAAGATATCTGTACTCAAGTGATAGCATGCCATTCTGCGTATTATTAAGTATTCATTTCTTAATTTATGTCTGTATTGTTTGATGTTTCTGCCCAGGGGTTACCAGGACCACAGGGAGACGTTGGACCCGAGGGCCTTCAGGGAAAGCAGGTCAGCCCCCTTTTTTGAACAACTTTTACTTGCCTCATCGTGCACATCTGCTGTGACCTTTACATTTCCTTTTATGATTAGTTCAAACTAGAGGTCGGAGCTTTACCGCCGTGGTCTTTACTGTGCAGCACAGAGGTCTGTTTGTCTAGTAATAAATCCCTGTGTGAATACTTGGCAATCTGCCAAATCTTCCCCATCATTACTGTTATTTACCAGAACAGCAATGAGCTCTCAGCAAAAATATTTCACTCCGGGTTCTTCAGTGTTCTCCTTGTATCCTGTTTCTAAATACAGACTAGGAAGTGCCTACAGCATTGTTAACATCTCCAACAAGACCTGCAGTTAATAACATACAAGGACAGTCAATGTTTGCTCGGTGGCTCGCCATGTGAAGACATGTAGGAAGCATCTGCAAAGATTACCAGGACTCTTGGTGGTCCCTATGTTGCATCATTTGTGTATATATTTCTCAAAAGGCTCTACACACAATATGTGAAATCCTTCGTGTGCCTCTCCCTCCACAGTCCTGACAATCAAATTAGCATGACATGAATAACATGAATGATAACTCATGAAACAAATCATTCAGATTAAATTGAAATGTAGTAAAATGGTACATATGAACTATTATATTCTGTTAAAACAAGATAAAATAATTACATTACAGCTCTTTATGTCAGGCTCTATGTTTTTGTTTTCACCTTCATTTTGATAAAGTTATCTAAAGCCCAAGCAAATTTTGTAATCGATCCAAACTTTGATGTAGTAAAGAGCCTCCAGCAGTTCTTTGTTGATTTGAGACACTGTCGTTTCGGGTTTTGTTGAAATTTGAGACACTGGAGCTTAAATTTAGCTTCTATTTGTCCTGACCTGCAAGAAGAGATCAAATATCTCGCCCACTACACAAAGGATTTACAGCAGCATGTTACCTGCATGTATGTACAGTATGTGTGTATACAATCAAATTCAGTTTGGAGTTAGGTAGTGCTTTTCAGGGGTGCAACATAGTGTTTAAATAAACAATAAATGAACGACATCAAAGGTTTAAATACAGAGGCAACAAAAGATTCTAAAAAACAAAAGCAATGTAAAATGATATACTAAACTAATGGTTTAGGACTCATTTCCTTTTGCTATATTGATACATGATTTAAGCTCCAATCCACACTGATGTTTAGTGTTATTTTGTCATCACAGGGTGAACGTGGCCCATCTGGCTCTTCAGGAATTCAGGGGGAAACTGGTGTTGGACTTCCTGGATCAAAAGTAAATGATGCTATGGATTATCCTCAGAATATTTTTCTTGTACTTTGTTGTTGTTTGTTTGATATCTGATATTCTTTAAGTTTCTTTTATTAAATTAAGTTACTTTATAAATCTGCAGGGTGACATGGGATTCCAGGGCCGACTAGGTCCTCCCGGTCCCCATGGAGTGGGTGAACCCGGCCTTCCTGTAAGTTCAGGAGAAACAGTCTGTGCTATTCCAAAGTGTTCAATGTTTTTGTGTGTGTGATCATATTTGTTTCAGTCGCAAATGGGATCTGTTGAGAAAGCAAAGCACAAAGGTACTTTGACCTGCGCGCTGCTTGGGTGACACATTGTGCACTCTGGCTTTGTTTACAGGGACCTCAAGGACCACAAGGTGTTCAAGGGGGAAAAGGACCCCATGGTGAGGGGTTTCCTGGACCAAAGGTATTATTTTGAGTCTAGAATCAGAGAACTCATCAACAGTAACATTGTCTAGGTGAAAACGTAAACATACCACAAGGCTCTGCTAACTTTCTCTATAGGGTAGAACATAAAGAGACAGAGAATATTCTTCAAAGGAATAATAAAAGTATAATAAAAGTATATTAAATGTCTGAACACCTTAATATGATATGTGTTACAGAGTAATTATAGAACAACGTGTCATTTGTTGACGAAGTAATGCCTGAATGCCTAGAAAAATATTGATGAATGTTAAATTGTTGCAAAGAATTTATTAACAGTGCATGAGCCTTTGTTCATGGCCCTGAGAACTCAACACACTGCAGATTAATTAAGAAAACACATGCAAACAGATACAACAGACGCAAATGAAGAAACATCTTCCCCAAATTTGACAAAAATACGCATTTAAAAAAAGCTCTGCAAGAAGCTCACAACGTAATGGAGAATGTTTCCAGGGGACACTAAAGAGTGATGCACACATCTGGAACATGCTTGTTGGATTGTGATGTTATTGGAGTCGGCATCTGTCAGTGTGTTTGGTTTTGTTTTTTGTTTTATTTTAAAATTGTGATGTCATAATTCTGATATTATTGGAGATATCTGTTGTTAAACAAGCGTTAGCCTTGTGTTTATTATTATGTTATCTGAATCATAAGATCACAATGTTAAAATAAGCCCAAAATGTTTTGCACCACCACTCATAAGCCACAAACATGGGAACAACAACAAGCATGTCCCAGCCGTGTGCATTACTTTTCATTGTCCCATAGAAACTAAATGTGTTGTGAAATTGATGTTTTCTAAATGCTGTGCATGTGCCGTCAAATCGGTGATGTTTCTTAATTTGCAGTTAGCTTTGAACTCTCAGAGCCACCTTATGAATTCAATGTCAACCTGACATCAATATAAAATAATGGTACGTACACTATCTACACTTTTATTTGTTCTGGGGAAAACTCTTGGAAAATGAACACTGGAAATGTCCTCAAGCAACAGCACATCTGTTATACCTGTACCAGACTACCGAGTTGTTATAGATTTGACTCTTCTGCTGACTTTTACCTCTTGTAAAAAAGGGATCAGAGGGTTTCTGTGAGAGGTGACTAAACCCTCTCTTCTCCACACACACCTACACGCAAACACATAAAGTTGGCATGATCAGGTCTGCATGTCTGCATTTCATTACACTTGTATGTTGCAAGATAAGCAACCACTTCACTTCATGATTCACTGGCTCTGGAAAAAAGTCCATGCAGTGAAGAAGTGCCATGAAGAAAAAACTCTTCCGTGCTTTGTGCATACAATAACTTTGTATCAATCACAAGTGGATGACAGGAGCCAACATGCTCTTTTTCCGCACTCTTTGCTGACAACAATGCAGACCTGGCTGTGCCCCAAAAGGCAAGTGGCAGTGATGTAACTGACAGAAATAACCTGTTTTTATTCCACAGGGAGAACAGGGTCTCACTGGACCGAGGGGGCCAAGGGGACAGCAGGGTGCAGGAATCAAAGGAGAAAGGGTGGGTTATAAATATGTCATCGAACAAAGAGAAAATACTGCAAACCCTCAAGTTAACACAACAAAAGGCTCTTTTGGAGGCAGCACAAATGTCAAGATGGCATCTTGGAGCACTTGGACTGTATTAGGTGATTCTTGTGTTTCTTGGACTGTTAGCGCTACCTGTTGAACACTGGACTACAGCATCTGTGATTTACGATTGTGCTATACTTGAAAGGATCATTTTTGTAGTATTCATGTCATTTATGAATAATCTGAACTCTTTTTCTTCAAAATGGAAGGAGGTGTTACTAATGACGGACTAGATATTCATTATATATGTAACGCATGCACACATATGTTACTTTTGTATTAAACTGACTATGGTGTTTCACTTCCAGGGTGGCTTGGGACTTCCAGGTTTTCCAGGGCCAACTGGACTGGCGGGAGCAGGCATGCAGGGAGAGAAGGTCAGCAAAATATCTTCATCTATATTTTCACAATGTCACACTGACATATCAGGACATAGATTAGTAGGACACTCTGCAAGGAAAGCGTTTTAATCTTTATTACTGCTCAGGGAGTCGAGGGTCCAAGAGGTCCGCCAGGAGTCAGAGGACATCCAGGTGAAGGTTTATCTGGACCAAAGGTTTGTTAAAACAACTGCTGTATGAGATGTAGCTACTGCAAATCAAATGTATGCAAGGTTATGTTTTTAAGTATTTAGGGTGGTTTCTAAAGTTATTATGCTGCTGATGTCATATAAAATCAGATAAAATATAATAAAGATATAACATCCAGTTTGTTATTGTTTACAGGACATACGGTTTATACATTGTACATTATCAAAGATAAGATGTGAAGCCGAACAATGAACTGGACAAACAACATACAAAGCAAGTGCAAAACTCACAGGTGTGTTGCATTTTTCTCATAATTACCCACGCTGTCATGCTCTTTCTGTTCTAGGGAGACCAAGGTTTACCGGGAGAGCAGGGAGCCACAGGAGAGAGAGGCTTTGGTGAGCCTGGTTCAAAGGTAAACAAGTTACTTTATTTATGGCCAATATAGTCGGCCTATGTTGAGTGCTAGTGTACCGAATCCATCGAATATCAAATAATACCATTCTACTGTTACAGGGGGAGCTTGGAGCCTCTGGTTTGGGTGGCCTGCCTGGTCTTCCAGGAGAGGATGGAGCTCCAGGGCAGAAGGTAAAGTACATTCAAAGTACATTATGCCAACTCTCTGGAAAACTTCCCCTCTACCTTCCTTTACTTTGTCCATGAGTTTTCAATAAAAACATCGATTAGATAGATTTTTGCCACAGCTGAGTGACTGCTTCTGCCCCATCTACCTTCCCTCTCTTAGGGGGAGGCTAGTTTACCTGGTTTAAGAGGTCCTGAGGGAGCACAAGGAATTGGCACTCAAGGAGAGAAGGTATGATTTAGATACATATCTGTGTGTTTGTCAGAATTTATTTAACAACAAATGTTAATCAGGTAATGTGTGCTGTAATCCCTCCCAGGGTGACCAGGGTTCGAGGGGCATCCGTGGGTTACATGGGCCTCCTGGGATCTCAGGACCCTCTGGACCAAAGGTAAGAGTTAATGGAACAAGTAGGCCTATTTTATTGTGGTGTGATATCGTCTGCGATGAAGTAGTATAAGCAGCCTCTCTCCATTTATTCCATGATGAATACTTTGCTGTAGGGGATATGTGCCACAACCAACCCAACCTTTGAGTAGAGCCAAAAAACAAGTTCTCTGCATGTTGATGGCAGCACACGTATTGTTACATAGAAATGTGAATTGGATCTTACGTCTCTTGCCAAATCTCACCTTGCAGGGTGAACGTGGGATATCAGGCCAGCAGGGCATGCCGGGACAGCCAGGACGGTCCATATCAGGTCCAAAGGTAAATTAAAAAAAACTCATCATCAAACTGTCTCCAAACACAGATCTTGGCACCAAGGTAGACAGGTAGCAGGCAGCCAGAAGAGCTGCCAGATAGACTCTAATGTGATGTAATGTTTCAAAATTGTTGCCACAAATCAACACTGTGACTTTATTGTCTCCAGGGTGATGTAGGCTCTGCTGGTCCCCCTGGTCCTGTTGGAGAAGCAGGCCATGGATTACCTGGTGCAAAGGTACTGTAAACACTGACATCTTTTTAGAGCATTTGTTTGTTGTGAATGCTGGAAGCACCTCTACCCATTAATTTTACAATTTTCCTTTTCCTTTGCCTGGGCTCTTTGCTATATGTCATCATCTCTCTCCCCGACCTTTCCTGTTTCTCTTTCTCTCTTAATATATATACAATTATAATGAAGTTGCCTTTATTGTTCTAATCAGCATAATGGTGGTCTCCATCACTACATTTTGTTTAAACAGGGCGATCGTGGCCATTCGGGTTCAACAGGTTCAGTTGGTCCAAAAGGCCAAGGCATCCCCGGCCCTGTGGTTCGTATCATCAACATTCTGCACAAAAACCGTTTAATGTTGTTCAAGCTGGAACGGTCTGAACTCATTTCTGTATATATTTTAGGGTCCTCTAGGCCCGCCAGGATTACCAGGCGAGTCGGGTCCAGAAGGAGTAGGAATTCCTGGTCCCAAGGTTTGTGTCTACATGTTTTTAGGTTTGTTGTGTTTTTGCATGTGTGTGTATACTAATGGTGCATTTGATAATGTCTATTTCAGGGGGATGTTGGCTTTAGGGGATTGACAGGTTTGCCCGGCCCACCTGGAAAGGGCTTACAAGGACCACCTGTAAGAAAAATAAGCTCACAAACCGCTCAATCGAATTATAATCAATATTCAAATCGGAATAGCCAATAACTACACATTTGACAATATATGAGGGTAGAAGTTGCCCTATGCCTATTTACTATGTGCAAGGTTGCAGGTTGTTGTTTTTTTCATTAAGAAGTTGTGTGATTACTTTTAAACATTTGTTTTAAGGGTACTGTTGGGAGGACAGGACCTGTTGGTCCAGCTGGACCTTCAGGAGAAGGTACTCAAGGCCCGAAGGTAACTGTTACCACTGTTTTACATAAGCACTGTCTTTCAAGCACTTACCAAGCTCTTTATTATCAAGAGTAATTCATAGTTTTCCACAGCAAGTGAGTGAAGCAATATGATGTACTTATTTGGTTCTGACATGTTACAGATCTGCCTAACAAACTAGCTGCAGGACAAAACATAGCAATAATTTACGATCTACCAAGAGTGTGGAAAGCTTCCGTATGATTCAATAAATCTAAAATCTAATTTTAGGGTGAGCCAGGATCTCAAGGTATGACTGGGCCTAGAGGGCCTCAAGGAGATGGATTTCCTGGAGCTAAGGTAAGAGATTTACTCATAACATTTTATTGATATATGGTCTCTGTCTGATCTATTACAATTGCCTTGTTGCAGGGTGATCGTGGATCACAGGGTGAAAGGGGAACGAAAGGTATAAAAGGTGACATGGGTGATCATGGAGTCCCTGGTGAAGCAGTAAGAAAAATGGATCTTATTCCTCAAATAAATAATCAAACTGACAATGTGAAGTCTCAATGGAACTAACTAATATTGTTTTCAATTTTTCTCCAATCCCAGGGAAGGTCAGGAGCAAAAGGAGACCAAGGCCTCACAGTAAGTTCATCAATTCAACTAATGTTTGAACATTCAACAAATTACAGTGATTTTGTACAAATACAAATATTCTTACATTTTTCAGAGAGAGGATATTATTAAGCTGATCAAAGAAATCTGTGGTAAGACTTCAAGTCAGTTTATTGGTTTGAACATTAATAAGTAGCTGGTATCTAAAGGGAACGCATGTGGAAATGTAAAATGTGCAAAGAGATCTGATATATCTATTAGCAGAGGTACTATGAACTGACAAGTGACATGAATGTAGAGCCAAATTATGAAAAAGTAAGGAGTTAAATTGTCAAATGTGGTTGTTTTGGTTCAGAATCTGACGGAATAATTTTAAAAATAGCAGTAATAATTGCTGCGCACTATAAAACTGTCCACACATATTCTAACTTTATCAAAATTATATTGCCAAAATGTTAGCAAATAGTTGCCCACTTACACATCCAGCAGACTTGGAGCAACATTTGCATATATTTGGAATAATGTTTATGACAACTTGACAAATAGAAGTCTAATATTCACTCTCTTTTGGCTCCGTTTTGATCTCCACCAACTCCAGAGAAAAATATCTTGAGCTGCTAATGTGCTTTATTTTTCTCAGGATGTGGCATCAAGTGCAAAGAGCGGCCAATGGAGCTTGTGTTCGTCATTGACAGTTCAGAGAGTGTCGGCCCAGAGAACTTTGAAATCATCAAGGACTTTGTCACCAGGTTGGTCGACCGCACCACAGTTGGACGCAACGCCACCAGAATTGGACTGGTCCTCTACAGTCTGGATGTCCATTTGGAGTTCAACTTGGTTCGCTACATGAGCAAACAAGACGTTAAGCAGGCAATCAGAAAAATGCTGTACATGGGTGAGGGCACCTACACTGGCACCGCCATCAGAAAGGCGACTCAGGAGGCTTTCGTCAGCGCTCGGCCTGGAGTCAGGAAAGTAGCCATCGTCATCACCGATGGTCAAACTGACAAACGAGAGCCTGTCAAACTGGAAATAGCTGTGAGGGAAGCTCACGCTGCAAACATTGAGATGTACGCCCTGGGGATTGTCAATTCTTCTGATCCTACGCAGACTGAGTTCCTGCAAGAACTATACCTCATTGCCTCAGACCCCGACAGCGAACACATGTACCTTATTGATGACTTCAATACTCTACCAGGTGATAATCACAGTCAAATGCTGTAAATATCATGCCTTCAGTAGTGTGTTCATTAAAATGTATGGCGATAAATGCTTTAGGCTGAGCGGTTGTTTAGTGCCTAACTGATTTCAAAATGTCTTTTTTCAGCACTGGAGTCTAAACTCGTCAGCCAATTCTGTGAAGATGAAAATGGCGCCCTCATTTACAATCGCATTACAAATGGACACTGGAATGGCAACAATGGGCATGGTATTAATGGAAACAATGGAAATGGAGAGAGAACCAATGGATATAATGGCTATGGCAATAATGGTTATGGTTATGGAAATAATGGATATGGGAAAACTGAAAATGGTCACAATTACCAAGAGGAAATTCAAAATCAGAGACGCACCAACAGCCGAGGGCGAGGAGACACTTTCACACTGCCCATCAGTGCTGGTCCTCTTCCAATTCAGGTCTGAAAATTAATTTAGCATTGTCTTAATTAAAGTATACTTTTGTCATTTTCTTTATTGATGGTGCAGAATGAATCACAACAGTGACAGATTTTATGTTGTCTTACTCCAGGTGGTGGAAGATGATGAAGGTGAAGATTTAGACATAAGAGCCCAAGCGCGGGTTGGTAATACTGTAGCTAGTGTACCTGTAGTTAACAAAACAAAATCTTTATCGCTTGTGAGAGAAAGCTCCGTCTCCAATGAGGCCGTCTTATCTACCTCGACGTCTATATCCTCATCGGCAACATCTGTGTCAACACTGGACTCAGTTTCATCTTTAAACTCTAATCGGTTGCAGCCAGTGGTGAGCCCAGTCCTGTCTAAAGGTAAGTACTGCACTCCTGCTCAACAGGCCCTTTTCACAGAGGACCTTTTGACGTATAAGAGTAGGAAAAGCACAGGTGGAATTCATAATATTTATGAAGGCTGAATTGTATTTAGCTGCTTTGGTTTCAGGGTCCTGGTGTTGTGCATGCTGACTCATTCTCACGGCTCACTGGGATACTTCAATAGAACAGAGCCATCATTAATGTCATTAGTAACACCTGTGCTTTTCCTGCTATACGTCATATACGTCAAAATATCTGCTGTGAAAAAGGCTTATTCTCATTGAGGGCATAAACATTCTTTGAAATACATGCATCTCAAAGAGCATTTCTTTTTCAGAGTCCCGCGTTCTTGATCCTCGCTGTGACCTTAACTTGGACCAAGGCACCTGCCGAAACTATGACATCCACTGGTACTATGACAAGCAGGCCAATTCCTGTGCACAGTTTTGGTATGGAGGCTGCGGTGGAAATGGCAACCGTTACGAAACAGAGGATGAATGCAAGAAGACTTGCGTTCTATTCAGAACAGGTAACTTTTGTAGATTTTTAACAGCAAATGTGCACATTGTCTTTTTGTTCATATTGTCTGAAGGTTGTACTGTCTTGTCCCCAGCAGGATAAAAGGAGATGAGGCGATCAGAAAGTGGACTTTAATACTCTACAATTGCTGTTCGTTTTTTTAATGTGATGCATTATGTCTCTTGGTTTCAGAAAATATTTTTATGCACTTTTTGAAAACCTTTGTCCTCACACAAATGCATTTTTGATAAAAGAGCAAAACAGTGCTAAAAAGTCATGACGAACTGAATCAAATCCTGAAATACTGTTGACATGTTACCGTTTCAACCAAATGAATGAGATTCACTTCTAGAAAACAGACTTTGTTACCTCAGTGAAACCAGCAGAAATCCTTTATTCAGGGTTTGACTGTCCTGGGTTTCAAATAACAAATTCAGAAATTTTATTCCAATTTAAAATGAACCTGTAGATCATTCTAATACCTCTATGAACATACCTTGTGTTGAAATAATTTAGTAATATGCTGAGAATTTCTGTGTGGATTGTGTTTGTTGTTATTGCAATTGTGTTTGTCTTGGCTACAACTGGCAGCTGTAATAGAGGGCGAATTCTCTCTGGGCACTGCTTTCAGAGGTCTACTGCGATCTTATGATGAAGATTGAGGCTTTCTGCAATCCATCCATTAAAGGTCTGTCTATTTGCGCAGTGTGTGTATATCTGAATACATGTTTTATATGTTTTTTAATAATAAAATGTAAAATTGTGTTGGTTTGCCCTTTTTTGTGTCTATTAAGGTAAATAACCATTTTTAATTTTATTATTATCCATTATAATCAGCGTCATCTGATATCAATGAATTGAATGACGAAAATTACCTAAATATAACTTTAAAACTAATTTATTTCCTTTATAATGTAAAGCATATAGAGTTTCGCTCTTGCACATGAATTGTGCTATATAAATTAAGTATGTCTTATCTTTCTCTGTCCATATGTTTTTAGCACCTTAATTGCTAGGTCTTTCTAGCATGCCTTTATTGGAGCATTAGATTGAATAGTTTCCACTCCAGTCTAATGGCATTTTCACAAAGCAAAGGCCATATTAAACTTATTAAAGGTAACAAACATGTCTCTATTATATGAACATTTTTGCCCATCTGTTTTGTAACACCCAGGGGCTCTGAAACTGACATAATTGGCTGACCTTTTTCACAGCTGACATTCTGACATGTCACAGTAGGGAAAACACAGGTGTACAAAATAATTTCATGAGAACAGAATTATATTTATCAGCTTTTGTGTATGGCTAACTGTGACATTGTATGGCTTATTGATACACTTGAATAGCACAGAGCCATTGTTAATGTTAGTAATTAAAACAATGTCTGCTGTGAAAAAAGCCTATTGACAAGACTATTGAATAGTAATATGAAATAAATAAATGTAATTGATACATTTTGTCATTTGTAAGCTTGTTCATAGTGTACAAGTTAGTGTTTTAAATATAGGCCACCGTCTGGCCGTATAAACAACATGTTGACACAATTTGTGAGATTGGCAACAGGTCCACAATATTGTCCTCTTTGCTTTCCGTCTGTTGCCACGGTGATTATGACGCTAGAGAGGCTTCGGATTAGCCAGTCTGCAGCTAGCTAGCGAACCAACGCTAGTTAGCTAGTAAACTAAGCCGAGGGGGTTATTACCTGCAGTCATGGCGTCTGTTTTAGATGCTCTCTGGGAGGACAGAGACGTTAGATTCGACATAACAGCACAGTAAGTTACTTCACTCAAATATAATGATTTCACCGTTGTGCAAACTAGCTAGCTAGTTAGCTCAGTTACGCTAATTGTTAACGTCGGATACAGTAATCTGTCATTCCATCCCGTACACAGGCAGATGAAAACCCGTCCAGGAGAAGCACTGATAGACTGTCTGGACTCCATCGAAGACACGAAAGGAAACAACGGAGATCGAGGTAGTGAAGAATATTGGAGTTTAAAACGATCTGTGCATCCTTGAGTGTGCTGCTCAACTAATATGTGATAATGTCCGATATATTTACAGGGCGAGTGTTGGTAACAAACCTGAGAATCATTTGGCATTCTTTGGCCCTGCCAAGAGTCAATCTGTGTGAGTACACCTTTAGGGTTCAATTGTATTTATTTATAGTTTGACTCTGTTTCCACTAGTTGAATATGTCTGCCCTCTCTTGAATTAGATAAAATTATGTGTGTCATGTGTTTAAATGATTGAGCACTACAAGTAATGTTGAATGCTTTACTAAATGTAAATCTTTTTTTTCCCAGCTGTGGGTTACAACTCCATCATTAACATCACAACAAGGACAGCTAACTCAGTAAGTAAACCGTTTCTTTATACATATGGCTAATAATTGTTTTAATATTATCTTATTAGTTCAAGTCCAGTGTATTTGACCATAATCGTTTTGTATTTCCTTATACACATCACATATACTTTTTATATTATAGGCACCGAGGTTGCCCTTAAACTCTGTGTCTGCGTGTGTGTTTTTATTTATCAATTTATTTAGAGTTAAAGTTATTTAGCAACATTGTTTTGACATTGAAGTATGCAAAGTGAATATTAAATGAAAAACTTAGCAAAAAAGCATGCTAATTAATTAATTGAATGCTATTTTCTAGAAATTGAGAGGCCAAACTGAAGCGCTCTACATCTTGACAAAGTCCAACAACACAAGATTTGAGTTCATTTTCACCAATGTGGTTCCAGGAAGTCCACGGCTCTTTACTTCCGTTATTGCTGTCCACAGGTACAACAATGCTGATGGGTAAAATTCTCTGATAACATTCTACATAAGATGTATGTCACACTAAACACTTTTGTTTTTGTTTTGGTACAGGGCCTATGAGACATCTAAAATGTACAGGGACCTGAAATTGCGAGCTGCTCTGATTCAAAATAAGCAGCTGAGACTGTTGCCCCGGGAGCAAGTGTATGATAAAATCAATGGAGTTTGGAATTTATCCAGTGATCAGGTGCGGCTGCTTCAATCGTGTCTGTCAAAATGTTTTTCATCAATTTTGCATTTTCCAGTTTCCGTCAGAGTTTTTTTGAGTACACACATATTACTCAGACTATTACTAAACAATCTCTACAACGTTAAAATGTTACATTTCATAGGCCAAATGTATTAAGTTGGAATACTTTCTATTGTCATTTTAACCACGTTGTTAACAGTCTGAAACTAATCCTGAAAGCGTAATCTTTAAATTCATTGTGATAACTGGAGATCATTTGTTTGCAATATGTCTAACTGAGTTCATTTTCTTTCTTTTAGGGTAACCTTGGAACCTTCTTTATCACCAATGTTCGGATCGTGTGGCATGCTAACATGAACGAGAGCTTCAATGTCAGCATTCCTTACCTTCAGATCGTAAGTAATAAACTAAATAATATCACCCATCTAGTCCTCACTTTCCACCTGACTTGATTTTCCTTTTTCTCCTGTTGCTAATTCAGGGATCAAAATGTTTTTTGAAACTCAGATACTGTAATGTAAATAATAGTATTTGTAACTTGGGCTTGTCCCTGAACTGATTATGTCCCAGCCCTGTTTACATAATGTCCTAACAAACATACACACCATCTATTATGTGCTCATCAGCACCTCAGTAACAGAACCGTGTGTGGTTGTTAAATTGCAGAATGCGCTTTCAATACAGTGCACCAAAAAGTACAATAACAAAGACACAATTATAGTATGAGCTACCTTTAGGTTGGTGTAGTGTACATGCACACAGCAGGAGGCATGAGGTGCCTTTGTGATTTTCTATCCTGTTGTAGCTCAGCAGCTCTAAGCCACTGCAGCTCTTTTTGTATCAACAGATGTGTTTTGTTCCACTTCGGCCATAAGCCACTGCACATGATCTTCAACGAGTTCTCTTGTTTCTGTTGTAAAATCATGTGCTGTTTCTCTTTCAGTCGGATTGTGTATTTATTTTCATTTCTTTTATCTTTTCCCTTCAAGTGGTCCATCAGGATAAGAGACTCAAAGTTTGGCTTGGCTTTGGTGATAGAGAGTTCACGCCAGGTAAAAATGGTTTGAGTCACAGTCAACTAAACTGATCACAATATAACGATTTAATACTTGTAATAATATAAGTGTGAGTAATAAACAAATATACTTTGGTTTCTAGAGTGGTGGCTATGTGCTGGGCTTTAAGATCGACCCTGTGGATAAGCTTCAAGACGCACTTAAGGAAATCAACTCATTGCACAAGGTGTACTCTGCCAACCCCATCTTTGGAGTGGACTATGAAATGGAAGAAAAGGTGAACATCCGATCATAATATTAGAATCAATGACCCTGAACACCTCAACAGTATAACATTAAAGCGTGTCAGAAAGGGTAAGCTGTTAAAGCTAGAAATAAACCAACTAGAATACTCTACATGTCTGTTTTTGAATTACTGTGTCATTTTCACAGCAGATTTGTTCTATCAACATTCCCATAAATTGTTCTGCATGCTCCTTTGTCACCAGTTCAGCTGATCGTGTTGTCATAGCGCTGTTTGTCCTAACAATGATTTCAGCCCCAGCCATTGGAAGAGCTGACAGTAGAAGAGCCTCTCGATGACGTGGAAATTGAGCCCGACGAGCAGACTGACGCTTTCACTGTGAGTTACACTCACCGCCCCTCTGGGAGTCAAAGGTTTAGTTTTCAGACCCTCAGAATAGCTGCCTGCTAATGCCCTTCAGCTTCATGAACAAACATGAATTTATGTTGCCTAGTGCTCATGTGTGTACGTGCTCATCAGACAACAATTACCTCTTATCACAGACAACATGTCCCTCTTTCTTTTTATTAAATGTGTGACTTGTGTGTGTTGCTTGCCCACAGGCTTACTTTGCTGATGGAAATAAGGTAAAGTCTCTCAATTAGTTTGATCACCAGCTATAATTGTATAGTATGTCGTGTTTAACTCTTTTTATTTGTTTACTGATGTTCCGAAGCAACAAGACCGTAAGCCAGTTTTCTCTGAGGAGCTGGGCCTCGCCGTTGAGAAGCTGAAGGACGGCTTCACACTTCAAGGACTGTGGGAAGTCATGAGCTGAAATAATGTGAAACATATTTATTTATCAGGTTAAAAGTTGTACAGTTTATGCATTGATATTTTTTTCATTAAAAAACAAATATTACATGTAGGGTATATTTATTGTAAGTATATTTTATATAACAGTTTCTCCTAATGGCTAGAATGTGAAAAACAATGCAGTCTTAAAGTTAATAAATGCATTTAAATAGATATTTAAGAGTCATTTTTTTTACCTTATGCAGTGGGTTTTTACTGTATCTCTCACACAGTTCATTTGTATGTGGAAAGAACACAATGATCTCTGGCTAAATACATAACTGCACAAGGTGCTAAAGTATTTTAGAAATCTGAAAAGAGGACTAACTGTCACCTCCTGTGGTAGCAGCTGTTCACTGACCCTTTCTTGTTAGATAACTCCCCTGTGGATGTGTCACGAACAAATACCGATCACTGCAGTGAACTGGTCATTACTATCAGTGAATCGTGACTCACTCCACATGTAGATGTCTCCAGAATACACAGAAGCCATATCTGTGAACACATAAAGAGCTGTAACAAAATAGTCCTGCCATTATCTTAACGTGTTTTGCTGTGTTTCTCTAAAATTATGTATTTTACCTGATTAGATAGACAAGTGAAAATGAACTTAAAAGATCATAGGTTATTTCAGTGGCCATACAACAATGTTGTTACGTATCACTAGGGTGACAAGGCTCCGCAGTTGTTTTTACTCTATGACAGCTGTGTGAGCTCTCCTATTGGGCCAACTTGAATTCTTCATGGATGGGGTGGCTGGCTATATTTAGAGGGGGCACGGTTATATTAAAGTGGCTTCAGACCTGGTGGCCTATAGTTCTTTGTCTACACCAGCCGGGACAGTCTGTCGGGAACACCTCCATCCACTTCCTGTCCTAAAAGAATGGATCCCGAAAGCATGAGGGAAGACCTCCGTCTGTTTCAGAGCACTCTGCTGCAGGACGGACTCAAAGAGCTCCTGAATGAGAACAAGTTAATTGATTGTGTCCTAAAGGTTGGAGACAGAAGCATCCCCTGCCATCGCCTCATACTGTCCGCTTGCAGTCCTTATTTCCGGGAGCTGTGCTTCTTAGAAGATGGCAAGGAAAAGGATACAATGGAGGTTATTCTGGAGAACATGGATCCCAATGTGATGGAGGCGATTGTAAATTACATGTACTCAGCAGAGATTGACATCAATGACAACAACGTGCAGGATATTTTGGCCGCTGCCAACCGCTTCGAGATCCCCTCGGTGTTCACGGTTTGTGTGAATTATCTCCAGAAGGGGCTGACAAAGAAAAACTGCCTTGCCATCTACAGGCTGGGACTGATGCTGAACAGCGCCAGACTGGCATTGGCAGCTCGAGATCACATTGCAGATCGGTTTGAGACCGTAGCCAAGGACAAGGATTTCTTAGAGCTCGCTCCGCCTGAACTCTTTGCCATTATTGGAGCAGACGCACTGAATGTAGACAAAGAGGAAGTGGTGTTTGAGACCCTCATGAGGTGGATCAGAAAAGACAAAGAGAAGCGCGCGAAATCCTTAGAGGAGGCCTTTGAGTGCGTTCGCTTCCGTTTACTCCCAGAGAAGTACTTCAAGGAGAAGGTGGAGAAGGATGACCTCATTAAGACTGACCCTGAGCTTCTTAAAAAAATCAAAGTCATTAAGGAAGCCTTTGCGGGGAAGCTGCCCGAGAGAAAGAAGGGAGAAGATGGTGAGGAAGGAGAGGAGGGAAAGTTGCCCGGCTATCTCAATGATACGCGCAGATATGGCATGTATGCCAAAGACATGGTCCTGATGATCAATGACACTGCTAGTGTGGCTTACGACACCCAGGAGAATGAATGTTTTCTTGTTGCAATGGCAGAGCAGATCCCCCGAAACCACGTCAGTGTGGTATCGAGGAACAACATCCTGTATGTGTTGGGAGGACTGTTTGTAGATGACGAGGACAAGGAAAACCCTTTGCAGTGTTACTTCTACCAGGTATAAAGAATATATTTACATTGCCGATGTGCTGGAAGCAATCGGAAGTATTTCCCTCTTTTGGTTTCTCAAAATAACCTAAAATGTGTCTTTCAGTTGGACAGTCTCACTGCTGAATGGTTCGCTCTGCCGCCCATGCCCTCCCCCAGGTGCTTGTTTGCTGTGGGGGAATGTGAAAATCTTCTCTTTGCTGTCGCAGGAAAAGATTTACAGTCCAATGAGTCTCAGGACACTGTTATGTGCTATGACACTGAGTAAGTTCAGCACACCAACCGTTTTGGATATGCTCGTTCACTAGATTTGTCTCATTTAAAAGCTCCTATATTTACTGTTTAAATGCTGTCTATCTGCCCTTTTTAGAAAAATGAAGTGGTCTGAAACTAAAAAGTTGCCCTTGAATATCCACGGCCACTGCGTGGTGTCTGAGAACGGGCTGGTGTACTGTATTGGAGGAAAAACGGATGACAAGTAAGATTTAAATGCCAAAACAGATCATATTAAGTCAAAATATGATTTTCAAATTACATTAACACACAATCATGTCTGTCTCTCCGGTAAAGTAAAGCAACCAATAAGATGTTTGCATACAACCACAAGAGATCAGAGTGGAAGGAGGTGGCCTCCATGAAAACGTCTAGATCCATGTTCGGGGCAGTTATCCACAACGGGAAGATTGTTGTCGCTGGAGGAGTCAATGAGGAAGGCCTCACAGCTGCATGTGAAACTTATGACTTTGGAGCCAACAAGTACGTGCTTTTATTATTACGGTTTATATATATATATATATATGCCCCTCAAAGTGTTGTGCATGGCTTATTATTTTCTGATACCAATTTCTATAACAATAACATTATTATTCCTCAAAATAAAGCTCTAAAATTGGTAATTTGCGGGATTTTTTTAACAAATCACACATAAATGCTCGACACTGCAGGCTATTGCCCATTAATAGATATATGCATGTTCTTATGTACAATTATAACAGTTAAAATTTTGGAAGTTGTGAATCAATTCAGGATGATAGAAGATACAGTATATGTTTTTTTAATATTCTTTTAATAGTACGTTTTTTTTTTAAAGTCAAAGAACTCTCGCTGAGGTGTTTGAGGACATGAAAAAACAAACAGTAATACAGCTGAGTGCCCCTTGTTGTAGGTGGTCACCCTTCACAGAGATGCCCCAGGAGAGGAGCTCGGTCAACCTGGTGAGCTGCGGAGGGCAGCTGTACACTCTGGGAGGCTTTGCCATGGTGGAGAACGAGGACAAAGAGTGTGAACCCACTGAAACCATCGACATTTGGCAGTATGTGTTACTTTTGTTGCATTATATCTATACAGGTGGTAGGAAACAATGTCATCTTGTTCACTTTCTTTTACAATAGCTCCCCTCGTACTCCCAACGGTGTATTATAATGACATGTCTTCACGGTCTCCCCAGGTATGAAGATGACAAGAAACAGTGGACTGGTATCATCAAAGAGATGCGTTATGCAGCCGGTGCTTCCTGTGTGACCATGCATCTGAATGCAGCCCGAATGCCCAAACTGTGACAGCAGTCCAGGGACAGACAAGGCACTTTAGCTTTACTGCTGTAGGCAAAATATTATGTACATGATCTTATTTAGTGGCTCGTTGTTGTAATTTAACATTTTAACATAACACGTCACCTTTGCCTGTTCTGTGAGTGGTTTAATGAAATGTATCATGGTTTTAATTGGCTTTTTTCTTGTCATTTGGGCCAGGCCTAGTTGTTGATTCTGATCTATTAAAAAAACATCACTTTCACTTATTAAAATGTATATTACTGTTGAAGGATGGCAAAGAAATTCATGTTTTTTTTTCTGTGAATCTCGAAATGTTCCTTTTCCAGTGAATAACATGTACCTCGGTACATCGGTATTAACACATCATCTCATACAGGCTCACTCATTATTCAAGCCCAGAAATATTGTACCCGTGTGCACAATCATGAATAATCTAATCTTAAACATTTTAAGACAAAGCTTTTGTTGTTGTATGAGTAAAGTAATGTCCAAAGATGTGTTACTTGCTCTACAATGCTCACCAAGACGTAGCATATCATTTGCAAGCAAAGTGCATGATAGTCACAAATGTACATTTTCTGTTGTTTGAGCAACACTGACAATACCCTATTAATGTTCGATGTTCATTTTATTTAAAATATGTATTTCAATAGAAAAGCACATAATACACAATCTCACTTAACATGAATGAGGTAGATTCATGTAAGAGGAGCACTTGATATATAGAAACGTACTGTTTTCAAAACTGTTCAGTCGGAAAATTCAAAAAAGAAAAAGTCAGTGTCAAATGCAACATTACTTTCATTGTTCAATAAATAAGGCCTTCAAGAAGAGAGCTCCCTAAATATGTTCTTCTTTAGATATTCCTTCCAGGCATCTGGTGTCGAAAGCTCCATAGAGTTCCATTCAAAGTGAGGGATCTGTAAAAGTGTCACAGACATTTAATATGATCCAGTGTAAGAGATGTACAACAGCACATGCAATGTTCAATGACGTCTTCCCACCTGAACCACGCGGTATCCCAGGATTTCAAGGTGTCTTTTTCTCATCAGGGCTTCACCTTTCATGTGTGGAGAGTTCTTGCAGAAGGACTTTGAATCAAGAAAGTCCACAGCAACTCTTGAGTGATGAGTAAAAACAGGACGTCAAACACATTTAATTTCTGAGTGGTCTACTTATTATTAACAATGTTGGTATAATGTGTCCGTACCGCTGAGCTCCAGGTGGCAGCACATCCCTGATGTTCTCCACTGAGCTTTTCCCCCAGTGAACCTGTCCTCTGTCTGAGATCTGCAGCGTGCTGGGCTCGCTGTAGGGCAGCGGCTGCAGCTGTTTGTCCAGTGTGCATTCAAAGTCTGAAAAGGCAAACGTGGTCACGTGACACTTCTGTCCTTAGACTATATTTTCTCTTTTGGGGGTGAGCATAAATTGACTTGATGTATTGCAAGTACAGGGGATACCCTTCATTTGAGCTTCTCTTTCCATCAGGCGCAAAGAATTGATAAGGTGTGATAAAATATAAAATCAATGTTTAATACAGAGATTTCCCAATATTACTCACCAACAGTGTAAAAATACGGAGTAACGACTGCTACTCGGACACAGTCAATACCTCCGAGAACTTCCCCCAGCATTTTGTGGATTTGCTGTTGCACAGGACTGACAGTGCCATTCCCTGTAAAAAAAATATAATTTTGACAGTACAGATTTGTTTGAATTTTGAACAATCACCGAATTAATAACTCATTTCTTGTTGCTTCTTTTTACCTTTCTTTTGCAACTGCTGGCAGTAGCGCTCATGAAACCACGGCACCTGGAACTCAGGACACTCGAGACACACGGCACGATTGAGCTCCATGAGGCGCAGTCTGGTCCGCATGTTGAGGGCATCTGGTAGAGCTGTAAGAGGAGAGGACAACCGCTACATTGGTTCTGTTGAGGTGTGAAGTGCTTACATCTCACGGGGAATATTTTTGCTACCGATGCATATAAAAACAATTATGTTTCAAACACATACTTTCTAATTGGGCATCCAGCTTTCCCAGAAAGTCTATGCTGAAGATCTCTCTGACGAGTTCCTCTGGGAAACAGTCGGCCACAGACAAAGTGTACGCCAGGAGAACTAGCAGATGTGGGTCAAAGGAGCCTACAAACACAAAGACAGGTGTTAGTGCACGCTTGAAATAAATAAATAAAAAGTAAACAAATGTGTAACCTGATAAGACTTACTGATATGAGGAATGAAGCGCTGAATGCAAACATCATACAACTCGTCTGCTTGTACTGGATCATAATTCATGACAGAGAACGGTAGCAGGGTGGCATATATTGCAGAGTGGTGAATCTGAAAAATGACACAGAAAAAGTACAGTTCATGTTTTATATGTATTATATATATATATATATATATATGTACTTACTGCAGACTTAACATATCACGATGTCTCTTAGGGCACCTTGTTAATGTCTTTAATAGCCACGCTGGCGATGCGGTCCATCAGGGGAGGGCAGAGGTGATTTATTCGGGTTAAGAAGAGGGACAACTCAGGCACATTGGTCCAGTTTATCTGGTCCCTCATCCTCTTCAGCGTGACCATCGTCTCTTCCAGCAGCATTTCCTCAAACCACTCTCCCGAGCTGTACTTGAGCTCCTCCAGCACCAAGTCCAGCCGGTCGGCCGTTTGCAGCCTCTCGTGCCCGCAGCGGTTCAGGGTCTGCAGCAGACGGACGTACTTGCTGGGAGTGTTGTGGCGGTAGGAAGGATCGTTACGCACCCACTTGGCAACGGCATGAGAAATGGTGTTGAGTTCGTTGAGGTTGCACTGGGTCACCACCGAATCCACCCGTGCGATCACGCCCTCGTCAAGCCGCGGGCTGGGCAGCATGGACAGAACACGGGTCAGCATGGTCACTTCGTACGGGTAGACGCTGCGCTGCAAAAAGCTGCAAGATAAAAGTGTAACCGGTTGACATTTCATTCAATCAGAGAGTGAAGCAGAGAATGTCCTCCTTAGCTTAAATAAACACTTACTTGACCAAAATTTTCCGTAGTTTCGTGAAGAGTTCGGGGTTCTGGTATTGCATCAGAAAAAGGGCTTGCGTGATTCTGGCCACCTCCACCGGCTTGTAGACGTGAAGATTCCTTTGGATCACTGATGTAATTCTGGAAAGTAATTTATTAAGAAATATATTTAAATTATATTTCTATACATCGGTGGTGAACACAACACAACATTATGATTTTGTCATTCCTGAACTGAATTTTCTAATTACTTTTCTGCTGAAATATATGGCAATACTGATATATCTCTGCAATAAGTTGATATTGGCAGATATATTGGCTCAGCTTCTTAAGCTATGAAGTTGTTATATGGCAGAGATATGAACTCACTTGTTCAATAAGCTGAGATTCCTGCTCTGAGTCTCTTCTAGAGCTTCGGCTACTGCCAGAGCCTGATATGCACTGAGCTCGTCCGCCAACAAGAGGGCAGTGTTTTCCATCCTGAGAAAGGATGAAACCACATAAGAGACATGAGAAACTCAAGAATTGCTGTCAAGAGTAAAGATTTCCACTTATGGATCACGCCAGTGATAAAGATACGAACCCATCTTTGATCTCCTGACTGGCCATCGGCGCCAGAGCGACAAAAAGTTTGGTGAAGGAGAAGGGATCGGTGCTTGAATCAATCAGCTCTGTCAGTCGTTGTTTGACGGCCAGCCTGAAGTCACAGTTGTTGAACTGCAGGGACTGATACAGCCCCATGATGATGCTGATATTCTCTGCGTCCAGTCTGGGAAGGTTGCTCAAGATGATCCCGTTGCACTTCTCCAGCAGAGGCCGGTAACTGTGCTTGATGTTGCGCAGGAATTGCACCACTCTCCGCGGGTTGTTATAATTTGAGGGATCCATGGTTTCTAGGAGGTGGTCTGCCCTGCTAATGAGGGCATCCCGAAGCCGGGGAGACACCAGGGACGACACGCTAATCATCAGCGTAGTTAGGATCCTGGGAAAGACAACCAGAGTGTCAATACACAATATGAGGTACTTGACTTTGTATGTTATTTGATCCTTTCGGTCTCCTGACCAACCTGGCATCATCAATGGAAGACAACCTCTGATCCACAATACTGGTGATGTGGCCCATTAGAGGACTGTGTTGGAGGTGCTGATCACTTAAACAGATGGAGAACTTGGATAGCGACGCCAGTGGGAATCTGCAAAAATCCACGTTTGTGTAACATTTCATTAGTGCTGAAACAATCACACAATTAATCTAACAATTTTGACAGCAAATCATCTCTTTTGTGACTAATAAAGAAATAAATGTGCTGATTTCAGCTTCTCTGATGTGGAGATCTGCTGCTTTTCTCTATTTTATATCATTGTATATTTTATATCTGGGTTAAGGATTGTTGGTTGGAACAATAAAGTTTTTTCCCAATTTTCCATTATTTTGGGGCATTTTATAGACTTTGCAATTACTTAATTGATTGAAAAAATACTTACAGTTTCATTAAATAATGAAAATGATAATTGTCATCAGCTCAAAAACCATGTAATGCAATCATACCTGTCTATTCTGAGCCATGCTTCTGAAACCAACTGCTGAACAAGGGAGTCATGTTGATCCACATTCAACCTAAAAGATGGACAATAATACAGCATGTTATAATCACTATATTATGACATCAAAACATAACAGTTGAACGTGGTTGTGTCTATATCTTAATGTACCTGAGGAAACTGTAAAGCATGTCGACCAACATTAAATCGTCCATCAGAGCAATTTTGTTCTCCGCCAAAACCCGGAGAGTCAAGAACTGCGGGTGGGTCTTGATGAGCTCCACGGTCCTGAGCAACTGCGGCTTCTCTTTCTGGAACTGCCACAGCATCCCAACAGCCTTGCCGACATGGTCCACCGTGAGCTTGGCTTTGTTCTTGCCCACCACATCAAACACCTGGTCCTCAGCCGAGCAAACCCGCAGCTGCTCCAGAACCTGGTCTCGGTTCACAGGCCCCCCATTAAGGAGCCTCCGAAGGAAGGAATTCACAAAGCGGACCCGAAACATCACCGCAGACATCGGCTCAAAATTTAAGTATGCACTGGGGTCTTCATTGCACCAACACAGTGAGCACCGTGCAACCCAATGTCAAAAACCAACAGGTAACCTCAGCCAGCTGAGATCACACCCACAAAACTACGGATTGGAGGCAGGTTACGTTAGAGGCTCCTTCGGGGACCTGAAGACAAAAACACACACACAAAAGAAACCCATTACGATATTTAAAGAAATATCACAATGTCTTAAATTATGTTGCAATTTACATCGTATTCACAGTACTTGGGTGAGCTCAGTGTGACATGCTGACCTCGGGTTTCATCTCGCCTACAGCCGCATCCAGATACTTGTGTAACTTTCCTTTAATGTAACGTTGAGTAACAGTGAAGTGAGCTACCAGTAGCTACGATCAGTTTGCTAACGCGGTTTTCACGTGCATGGAGAAAATATCACATAAAACCACTGACAGCGCCAGATTACCCCTAGTCGCTGGATTCTAATATGTATATCTTTAGATTATAGATAATCAAACAGTGTGTATTTAACACAAATGCAATACGACATTAAAATCACTCATTCAAAGTCAGCATCGGGTCAGCATGGGTGCTACAATGTTTCACTTCCGCAGCTAGTGACGAAGTGGTGTGAAATACCCTGGGTTTTGTCTTTCAGGCAGCAGGCAACCAGTTGCCCTGTGGAGTCCGTGTACGTTTTGATAGTAAACGAAAATACAGAAACACCATAATTTTGACGTGGTCTTTCTGTATTTTCGATTAAACGATAAAGCAAACTATCCAAACGCACACGGACTGGATGACCAGCAGCCTGTGAAAAAGTTGTACCTGACAAGTGAAGTTCAGGGCAATCTATTCTCCATTTCCTTCATAGTTACGTGCCCGACTGCGTTCACTGTCGCACGACTCTTGAAATACATTGACGTCCGTCTCGCGCCATCTTTAGAAAACAGTGAACCCAACACTGAATGAAAGTTAATTTTCGTCGTTTGTGAGAGCAGCTCGCCGTATGGAGTGATACCGTTCTGTTTCCAGGTGATGATATGTCGCATTAGCCATGTCTTGGTGATATATGTGTGTAGTTAATATGTCGAAATTGCACGGTACACGTCAAGTAGAACAATCCCTCTGCATGTCGTCTGACTGAGGCTAGTTGAACGTGCTAATGCTAACACCAGGCCTACCGTTATGGTGACAGCGTGTGTGTGTGTGTGTGTACGGCTAACATTAGCCAACGTTAGCTTAGCTGTGTTTATAACCCATCTGTCGTCATAGCAGTGTCGAATACGTTTATATTTGATGTATTGTAAGAATAATTAACAGCTTAATGATTTGTTTGCATGTAAAGAGGTCGTTCAGCTCCTCAGACCCTATAGGTGTGCAGGATTGTGGGTAATGCTAAGCTAAAGTGTCACTTCTGTGTTTCTCACCTTCAGGTGTTTGATCAGTAGACGTGATCATGGGGATCAAAGTTCAGCGCACTCGGTGCTTTCTTGACATTGGCATCAGTAACGTGCTCGGTAAGAAAGACATCTCAATTTACACAATACATCCAGATACATGATGAAGAAAACTAATAACTAACGATGCTCTTTCCTCACAGTCGGCAGAGTTGTGGTTGAATTGTTTTCAGATGTCTGTCCCAAAACATGTGAAAACTTCAGATGCCTTTGCACAGGTAAATACTGACATGTATCTACAAAAAAATGCCAGAAAACATTTTTACTTTCTTGCAAGGTGTAATGTTGATAACTGACTGTGGTTTCATTCAGGTGAAAAAGGCGTTGGCAAAGGAACTATGAAGCCCCTGCACTACAAAGGATGTCTGTTCCATCGAGTTGTAAAAGACTTCATGATTCAAGGAGGAGACTTCAGCGAAGGTGAGTTAATAAAGTTTGAATGTAAAGATGTCAAATCTCTCTGTTAATAGCATGAAAGGGCTGTAAGTGTTTTACCTTCTACACACCTATGGCGTCACGTTGGCACCTAAAGAACGCATCAACAAAACTTATCATCAACCTAACTGAATCTATTTGAATAACCAGCAATCGGCACAAGTTTTATAACTTTTATTCCTTCTCTGACATAGGTAATGGAAAAGGAGGAGAATCCATCTATGGAGGCTTTTTTGAAGGTAAAGAGGCCACTATCAGAGCTGTCAGTTGCTATCCAAACCGACGTTGGCTTCAAGATGGCAGTACAATCTTCTCCTTTCCCCCCCAGATGAAAGCTTCGCTGTTAAACACAACAAGGACTACCTGCTGTCTATGGCCAATAGGGGCAAAGATACCAATGGATCACAGTTTTTCATGTAAGCACTGTTCCTATATATTATTGATGCATTATTAGTTCATTCTGTCCTTAAACATATTGATGAACTTTTTTCTTGCTTTGGCCTGCTTCACCACTTCAGAACAACAAAACCTTCACCACATCTGGATGGGTAAGTGCGGCTTAATTGGTCTGAAACTCTGCTTGATTGCATCGTGCACGATACACACAGTACGTTTCACTTATATCAACATAGCTGATGCTCAACGCCACTGTGTTTCCTCAGTGTCCATGTGGTTTTTGGTCATGTGATTTCTGGCCAAGAGGTTGTTCAAACCATGGAGAACCAGAAAACGGATCCCAATAGCAGACCGTATGCTGACGTGAAAGTCTTGAACTGTGGAGAGCTCATCCCTAAATCTAAAGGTTTCTTTGAAGCATTTACAGCACTTCCAAAATACATTTTAGACTTCATGAAGCAGCGCTCCTAACGGATTCTTGAATGTTTGCAGCAAAGAAAGATGAAAAAAAGAAAGAGCGAGCCTCTTCCAGTTCCAGCAGTAGCTCCAGCGACTCCGAGAGCTCCTCACAGTCCTCCTCTGATTCTGAGGAATCGAAGAAGAGGAAAAAGAAGGCGAAAAAGCTAAAGAAGAAACAGAAGAAGAAGAAGAAGGAAAAGAAAAGGTACCTAATTTCATTTCTCACATGTTCACTTTCTGCAGTGTGCAGTACACTAGTGTCTTTATTCTGAGACGCAATGCTTTCCCAGGTCAGAGGCTGAAAGTGCTGAAGAGAAGGAACAAGAAGAGTTGGTTACATCTACTGTGCGTCCTGAAGACATTCCACCCATCCCAGAGAATCGCTTCCTCATGAGGAGGAGTCCCCAGGCGGTCCAGAAGTCAAAGGAGGAGGCTGAAAAGGCTCAGCCGAGTAAAGAGGAGAGGCCTAGAGAGCGGTAAGAGCCTTTTCATATTAGGTATGATTCGAATGCCCCCCCCCAATCAGCTTTCAAATTATAGCTGTTGTTCTGTTCCCGAGTACGCTTGCGTCGTCATCACCGTGACATTTGTTTATGTTGCTACAGTTGCATATAGTTTTCGGGTGCAAAAATGGCTGAACAAACTGTGCTGTCAGGTGTGCCTGAGCACACTAGAGAGGCCGCAATGCCACACAGTCCTCCTCCAGTCATCTTCACCACCACGGATAGCCGTCTGTTTCAAGTGGGTTCACGTCATTCAAATGCAGAGACATGGTGGGCTTTTTAGGAAATGATGATGAGGTTCGCACCTGGTTACGCTGGCCATGCCTACAATGTGAGCTACCGGACCATCCCCTCAACTACAGCGTGCTTTTTACACACATTTTACAACAAGCTGCTCACACATTTCCCGCCAGGTGTCATGAGAACATTTGGATGCTAATGTTGACCTGCTGCTCATTGGTGGACTGACCCGTCCAAAATTTCATGCCTTGCTTCTTTTTTTTTTTCCTGTCCCTCCCTCTCTCTAGTGCTGGCACAACATATAATTCTCAGTCATCGTATCACAGAAGACTGGTGATGACACGATCCGGGAGGAAGATAAAAGGCAGGGGTCCAAGGGTAGGCGCACTTCAATGTGAAGAGCTCAACTAACATCTACTTTGTCACAATTTATATTATGACTAATAAGATTGGAATATGTCTTGTTGCTTTTACAAGGCAGGAACGCACAAAAATTGCAGCTCTGTAAGCTTCCTGTCTTGACCCGTGTAAGTTCCAATCTGTTTAGAAACTGATTTGTCGTTGTTTTTTTCCCCAACCAGCGCTATCGGACTCCGTCTCGTTCAAGGTCCAGAGATGGTTTTCGGCGCAGTGAAACCCCCCCACACTGGCGTCAGGAGCTGCAGCGTCAGAGGATGAGGGCCGTCACCGGAGAGCGCTGGATTAAGGGTGACAAGTAAGATAACCTCACTTTGACTTATTGAAGAGTATGTAAAAGTGCACATATCGTCGTGTAGTTCCATAGTGTTGCCTGTTGATCTGCGGTGTGACATTTACCCTGCACTTCTTTAACAGAGGGGACATGAGTGAGGCCAAGGACGAGGCCGCTAAAGCTCCAAGAAGAGAGAAGCGAACCTCGGACACAAAGCACGAACGCACAGCTGAGGGTAAAAAAGACAAGAAAACTCGGTCGCGTAGATCCAAAAGCAAAGAGGACGACACTGTTGAGAAGGATGAGAAGCAGAGCAAACACAAGGCTAAGAAAAGAGATAAATCTCAAAGCCGCAGCAAGAGCAGAGAAAAGAGTAGGAGGTCAAAAAGCAGGGAGAAGGGTCACAAGCACAAAAGTGATGAGAGAAAAGGTCGCTCAAAGAGCAAAGACAAAAATGATAACAAGAAAGAAAAGGAGTCAGAGTCTGATCACAGTAAAGATAGAAATAAGGGTCATGAGTCTGACAAAAAGCAGAAAGAGGACACCAAAGGAAGAAATGGTGAGAGAACGAGGACAAAGTCACAAAGCAAGGAAAAACCAACTGTAAAAGATGGCCACAGATCAAGTAGCAGGAACAGGGATAGGAGCGGAGCGGCAGGGTCCAAAGACAAAGAAGAAAAACGGGGAAAAGAGCGAGAGAGGGGCAGAGAACGCAGCAGGAGTCAGGAAAGACGACGCAACGATGAAAGGGAGAATAAGAAGCGAGGAACGTCCAGGGATAAGGAACGTAGAACAAGAAGCCCAGACAGAAATAAGTCGAGAGACTCCCACAGAGGCAGGCGCTCCAGAAGCAAGAGTAGTAAGAGAGAGCGCAGCAAAGATCGGTCCTCTCGTAGGAGGGACAGGGAGTCTGACAACCAGAGGAGACGACGAAGCAGCAGCTCCGACAGCGACAGAGACGACAAAAGGAAGGGTCAGAAGAGTCCAGATTCCAAGCGCAGAGAAGCAAACCGTACCTCCAGATCCAAAGACAGAAGAAGCCCGGCCAAACCCAGACCAGATAGTACAAAGGGCAGAGACCGGAACAGCAGCAAGAGGAATAAAAGCAGCTCCAGCTCGAGCTCCGACAGCGACTGAGCCTGTGGCGACGTCCTAATAGAATAGATTTTACCCCAACTACATATCTAGTATGCAGCATCAGCTTTCCATCTAGAGTGGGACTTATTCACATTCCTCATTCAGTGCATAAAATCCCACTAATATGATTGTTTAAAAGTCATTTTTTAAAGACAGTTAAGAACTATGTGAATACCACTCAAACACACAATGGCAGACTGTAGCATCTTGCGAGCTGTGGACAGTGAATGGATTGTGGATTTGTCCCCCATTGAATCCATCACACTGTTGAGGTGTAGCTGAAGCTACACAGCCAGTCTGAGGAAGGATTTGTTTCAATGTTATTTAATGCAGACTCTCTAAGTTGGGCAAATGTCTAATTGTCAAGTTATTTTTTACATCAATCAATCTGGACGAGAACACTTTTAATTTCTTGCATGCTTACCCCCCTCATTGTTTGATGGAATATGTACATCCACTCCTTTCTTTTTGGACGTCCATGACCTTGTACTGTAATCCTATTTGTTAACTGGTTTTAAAATACCTCTTGTTTGTTTTGTATGGAAAAAAATGTAGAACTCTACTGCCGTGTAGGATGAATTAAAAGGTTCAACTTTGATTTTAATCAACCGTTTTTAATAGTCCATATTTTTAGCCCAGACCAGTCATCTTCTCTGCTCTGGGTAGTTGATACACATTATTTTGTTATGTGATTCTTTTCAAACAACTGCATCTGTGTCATTAATCTCACTGTAGCTCTCTCTACAGCGTGAATGGACTGTAGAACACTCTGACTAGAACATATTACATCACGTACCTAATGAACACTCGTAAAACATGTCCAAAGTCACTCCATATCTACTATATAGTGTACTCCCAAGTGTCAACATGATGCACGATATCTTGCGCTCACAATTCTCAACAAAGGGACAGAAAAGTAGTTTTTTAGAGTACATTTGGGGCAGCGTCGTGCCGTTAATAGTGAGAATGACATGCTGTAAAGGAACCGGATATATTGTTTCGTGGACATTCCCGTTAATGCGTAGGCCACCAGGATGCCCCATGGACGAGATTATAATCCCACAATGCAATGCTTCTTATTTTCCAAATATGAAAACCATGCAGCTGCAATACGACTATTCATGAATCCCACTCATAGTGGCAATTAATTATTCAGTCAAACAACACACTATTGATTGTCTGTTATAAACAGAGTAGTGAATGAGAGAGTGATTTCAGACGCAGCCTCTGTCAGAACATCTTAAGGACTTTATTAAACCTTTGAAACCAGAATAGCCAGCCTGGAGTGACCTATAACCATGTAAACCCAAGCCTCTTCTTTGCCTCTTCAATATCTTTGGCCTCATTTAACTTCTTAATGTTCTGGGTGGAACCAGAGACGTCCTGAACGAGGTGGCTAGGCCTTACTCCTCGTGCGGCTTTGCAAAGTGGGAAGACGTTTCGCTGAGCCTCCGCCGCCGCTCTGATGATGTGCTGTGAATACTGCTGGAACTGGTTTTCCTCTTCAGCGATGAGCTCTGCGTTCTTCACTTCAAACTCGTGTTCCTCTCTTCTCAGCTGCTGACGCCTGGCACTTTTATCAGCCTATATTTGAAGGATGACATGATAAATGTCAGACAAGGACCAAAACATGTTTCCAATGATTGTGGCGGAGACGGTCTCAACATTTACCATTTGTGTGGCATTGAAGTATCGTAGTTTTCTTCCGTCGTCTTTCATCCTCTGAGCCTTCACTTGTTGTTTCTCAGAAAATATTCGGTCGGCCTCTTTCTTGGCCTGAAGTATGTCTCGGGTGTCCTGTTCTGTCGATTTGTCCCTCTGCTCCTTTTCTTGTCTCTGATGAAACACAGCTTGTGTTTACAGGTGTGGGAACATTTTGTGAGCTGCAAATGGAATCTCAGGCAGAAATCCCTCCAGCTAGAACCGGCGACGGTAACATTGTGTCGTGCAGCATCTGGACCTGTCTTACCATGAGTTCTCTGTGCTCAGCTATCGACTCCAACATCTTAGCCTTCTTCTCCCTCTTCTCCCGCTGCTGTCGGGCCTTATTTGCTTCCTGCTCAGCAACAACCTTTGCGATCCCCTGCTCCTCTCTGTCGGTTTGATCCTGTAGGACGGGCAGCTTGTTCATGATCTTCTCTATGTGCGTTTGTGCCTCTCTGGGGAATGAAAACACAATGATGATGCACCAGAGATCCGCTGTATATGAGATATGAGGACCGATGACCGGTTGTACTAGAAGCTAGTTGCGAAGGTTGATGTTTATTGTTTAGCTGGGCCTTACCTGAACAGTTCTTTTTCTTTGTCTTCCCGCAACTTCATAATGTTTTGCTTTGCAGAGAGAAAAAGTTTCCTTTGCTCCTCTTCAGCCTCCTGTTTTTGTGCATCTGCCGCTTTTATGAGGTCCCTATTGGTGATATGTTCCTGTAAATGACAGAGTACACAGTATGAGTATGTACAGTGGTACACTATAGCAGTTAGCCCTCACTGTTGAGGCCCTACCTTGTGAGCGTGCATGAGATCTCTCCTCAGCTTTGCTTGTCTTTCTTCCTCCGTCCTTTGCTCCCACCGGTGGAGCTCTTGAAGGTGCTGGGTTTCCTCTCCGTCCTTCGTGTTCTCTATCTTCTGACGCTCTCTCACTAGCTCACGTTCCTTGACCCTAGGGAGAAGGAATCAATCTCACATGTAAAGCGAAAATGCTTTACTCAAGCCGTCTCTGATTCTCATTTGAAATCATCTGCAGCGTGTTCAAAGCCGCTTGTTGGGTACGATGCGAGACTTACTGTTTCTTCAGTTCTTCTGCAACAGTCCGTATCCCGAGCTTTTTCTGAAGGGCTTTCTCCTGATCCTGCCTCGAGGCTTCAGCGTCTCTGGTCTTTGTCGCATCCAGGAATTCTTTGTCAACGTCTTTAGAGGCATGTTTGATTCTTTGCTTCAGTTCAATCTGTGCCTCCCTTTCCTTCAGCACCTCTGTCAGTAAGAACGCACCCTGTGGAAGTAGCAATAATCATTCATTGTGCCGAAACATCAACATATATAGAGCCAAACATGTACATGTGACGATCATTGTAAAGCGATACCGACATGTAATCCTTTGACACGGTCTGTTTGGTAGAACAGCTGACTTTGGGCTTTTTCAATGGCCTCTTTCCGCTGCTGCTCCTGATATTCGGTCTCTTCTTTCTCAGCCAGTTTCCTTTTCTCCTCCTCAATCTCCTCCCGGATCTTCTTTGCCTCCATTTTCTTTTTCATTTGACTCTTTGATAAATGTAAAAAACATAAAGCGTGTTAACCTTTTGCATGGTTCTTTAGAGCAGAACATTGTGCTTTTCATTGTGCAACTTTACATCTAAATTTAATAAAACTAATACAATCTGAGGAAACCCCCGTACAGGCAACTTACAGCGATGGTGTTGGGCCACAGTTTCACCACCTCTTGTGATTGCAAATGCAAGGCCTGCCTCTGTTTTGCTGCCTCTCTCATCCTCTCCTTGTCTTTATGAACCTGGTTCAATTCATCTTGAATCCTCAGCCACTCACTCTTGGTTAAGACGGTGACTTGTCGGAGGTCTGGTGGCTGGATCATCCTGCTGCCTTCCTCAGCTGAAGACCCTTTTCAAAAAAAGAAGAAGAGGAAAGTACTTTGAGAAGACAAGTTTATTTAAGGGGACTTTGTGTAATTTGGGTAGTTGAGGACTGTAAATGCTTTTCTCCAGAATATTATAGGATGCATATTTATTTCTTCCATGTTGGAAGTTCACTCCTACAGCCACTCTTATATTGTTCTGAACTTTGTGTACGTTAACGTTGCAATCAGACTTGCATTATTGTCTATTAGCCATGACAGCTAACATTAGCTTAGCTAGCGTCAGTAAAGGTTACTGAAAACTCGTTAGCTCTCACCTCTCTTACTGGACCCTCTTCGTCGGCCATACTGAACCACCGAGGCCATTTGTATTCGGTATGTATTACCTAGTAATATTCAATTTAAAAGGACTATTTTAACTAAAACAGCTGGCAAACTTTTAACTCTTTCTAGGTTACATACAGCTGTGCTAGGGTGCGCATTTGATGTGTTGTATCCAGGCAACGCTTGAGCCAATCCGAAGCATTTCCGCCTATGGACGACAGGTGGCGCTGTGTGTCCTACACTTTTGGAATACTTGGAATTGGATAAGGTGACTAGTCAGGTGATAAACAGCATCTGTGAGAAACAATGGACTTGCCTGATCTGCTTTTAAATGAAGCAAAGAACAATTTTAAGTTATTCTTTGGAATATTACAATTATTTCAACAAAACCACCTACTATATATTTCATTTCAATAGCTTGATGTGAACCAACAGAGTTTATGGTGATTAGATCTCTATCGTATGGTATCATGTTAGCATAACATTAACAGTTGCATATGGTGTCCAAATTAATTATAGGATATGGTTAGTTTTTTTTTCAAAGGTACTTGACTTTACTTAAGTATTTACATTTTATGCCTCTTAATACCATTTTTATTCCATTGCTCTTCAGATAAATTTAGGTGTTCTACTTAAGTACACACAGCTATACTACTTTGTAGATATACATACTAAACATATGAGTCACACCGGGAGACGCATGAGAGGCGGGTTCATTTTGAAAGGGGCCGTCTTAAATCTGATACAAAACATTTAAAAACGGCAGAGGGAGCTCCCCGTGTTCATCAACTCACGGACGCAACACACCACCAGTTACGCACCGACCGGCAGCCCGGTGAGAAATCCCCAAAAATGGCCCCTATCTCCATCAAGACCGTTTTAATCAGTGAGAGTGTTGACCCTCGCTGCAAGACGATTCTGGAGGAAAATGGCATCCGAGTTACGGAAAAGCCGAATATGAAGAAGGATGAATTAATGGCGCAGATTAAGGTAAAGTTGCCACTCGGGTGTTGCGTAACTCCTTTCACCTGCACAACGTGTCGTTTTTGTTTCTAGTACGCAATCGTTTTGAAATCATGATTGCAAAGAAAAAAGTTCAGTCGACTAAGCAAGCATCATTTTGAAAGCTAGTGTGTTTTTTTGCAGCTGTGCCTGTCTCGGGGGTAGAATCAAGTAGCGTCTGTTTATTTTATACAATGTTTAATGTAAGACGTGTGTGTGCACGTTTTTAGGTTACGTACTCGCACCATTTCTCTGAGCCCGACACGTATTTGTTGGGCTCACAATTGATTTTATATTTAGTACCACCCCCAGGAAGCTGATGCAACTCATCCCTGACTTTACTGGGTATCCCATCTCTTTTTTTCTCTGCCTGCCACCATGCAGCACATTGGCATTATCAACTTAATGCAGAGGCTGTGCATGCAGCAGAATCTAACATATGCATTTGTGCATGTTCTATTTGTCGGATTAGGAAAAATGAGTTGCAGTGGAAATGTACTGATACTAACTCAAAGGATTGTAGTGTTTTAGAGTGGAATCATGACTGGACAAAAAGCTTTGTTAGACCCTACAGCCAAAAGTGAGCTCTCTTTTTAGCCACACCTACCTCATTCATTGGACAGTTTTTTTTGTATTGCTGCATCTCATGAGTTCATTTATCTTGGTGTTTAGTAAGTGCACACATAAAAAGTCTATCGGCATTATTAGTCGAGGCTGCAACTGGACCTGAAATAGCTGATCATAAATATGCATTTGCACCATAATAAAAGTCAGAAAGGGTAAAAGATGTGTGAGGGGAAATTGTCACACTCGAACAAGCTGAAGTGTTACCATAATTACAAGAAGATCTTTTATTTATATATATATATA